TTTTTGGTACAGATTCTTTCCAGGCTTTGTAACCATATTCTGACTGCTAGCTCCACATAGTACTTCCACATGTTGACGTCACAGCCGATCATATGTGACTACCATAATCCCATGGGGGATTACATATTACGAAGAAGTCCGCGTCAACGTCACGTTGCCGGCATACATCTGCCCTCGTGAACGTCACGTCACGTCAACGTCACGTCATGCACAGCATCAAAGACAATTGCAAGTACATCTGAACGCCATTCGTCAACGTCACGTCACGTCACGGCGTCATCGCCAATCATCTGCCTTCGGCCACGTCAACGTCACGTCAACGTCACGTCAACGTCACGTCGCAACGTCAACGCGAACCGCAAGTACATCTGCGTGCCATTCGTCAACATCACGTCACGTCAGCGTCACGTCACGGCGTCATCGCCAATCGCAAGTACATCTGAATGCCATTCGTCAACGTCGCGTCACGTCAGCGTCACGTCACGGCGTCGTCGCCAATCATTTGCCTTCAGCCACGTCAACGTCACGTCAGCGTCAGCGTCCACACCGTCATGACCGTCACGTCGCGGGACCCATCCGCGGACCATACTCAACACTTTCATTAGGCAGATTCTGGCGGCCTTGGATTTGCAGAATCGTTCTCAGCTCAAAAGCCATGCCAAGAAATTCCTGCTTTGCTTTCCTGAAGGGGTTAGACCCTCCATGGATGTTTGGGTTGACAAAGGAATTGTAAGCAAGAGCCAACTGTCTAGAGGGCAGCTGTTTCTGGACATTGCCATGCTGCTGTTCCAGCGATGCAGGTTGCAAAGTATGAAGCCTTTCGTGCAATATGCTTGGGGCGACAGCACCACCAAAAGAGGTTTGAACATATATATTGTTCGTTATCGCTGCATTCAAGTGTCTGCGCTGGTCCCATTGTCTAGAGCTTGGCGTTGGTTGTGTTTGCATTTGCCGCCAACCAAGGAGAAACAGCAACCTTTGAGTGATGAAGACTTGGACAAACGCCGTGAGCTGAGTCAACACTTGTTTGATGGTGTGCAGCTGCACACTCAGATACCTCAGTTGATTGGGCATGGCCGCAGCACACTAGTCGACAAAGTCGGCGCGCACGTTCACTCGACGCTCTTAGAGGTAGGTGACCTAGATGCCTTGCAGAGTGCGCTTGACTCTTGCGTTTGTTGGTGTAGTGACATGGGTGTTGAGTCAGGGATCCCGGAGTGCCAGGTGTCCAGCGCTGACTTGTTGTTGCCACATTTTGTACGCCCCAGTGCTGTTACTTTCATGGAGGCTGACGCAGACGGGTTTGTTGAGGAAGGGTTTGTAGGCGAGCCTGAACCAGCCAAGAATTTCATGCAGAATGCCATCCATGTGCCAGGTATGTGCCATGCGATCCACAATGCATCTTTAAACCTGGATTCGTCGTGGTCAGATTTCAATTGGTTCATGGACCAGGTTGAAACACTAGATGCTTTGATTGGCAAAAAACAAATGCGGGATCGTTTTGTCGAAGTTGTGTTGCGCAATTCACCTCAATATGCAAACGGTAAAGACTTGTTCAGCAAGTTTTCTGCAACTCTTTACAGGGAGAGATGGGGTGAAGTTGCAACCTATCTGGATGCAGCGTATGCTTTGTTTGTGTTTTTGAGGCGTGCTTGGGATGAGTCAGCTTTCAAGTCTGGACTTGAGGAGAGTGCGGCTTCAGGCCCTAGGATGGACCCGCAGGCCATCACAAAAGCGTTGAAAGATGACTACTTCTTGATATACTGGCAAATGCAAATGTCATTGCGTGATGTCATTCAACGCTTGCTTCGTTGGTCAGAAGGTTGTCCTTGCCATTCCACATTGCTAATTGATGCGACCCCACACGTGCGAGAAAAGAACTTACGAGCTGAAATCTCATGTCCTGAGGAAGTGCGATGCCACTGTCCCATGATGGGGTGTCGAGCAGCAGAGCTAGTGGCTGGCTCTCTTGACAGCTTTGCTGAAGAGTTGCGCCGCGTGCAGTTGAACGACTTCTTAAGTAGTCGGCTTGTGCAGCTTTCGGTTGAACAGTGGGGTCGTTTGCAATCTGAATGGAAACTTGGAAGCGCATATATATGTGAAAACTTGCAGGTTCGACTTGGCTTCTTCAAAGCGCTTCCATGGGTCATCTTGGGGGGTGCCCACCCTGAACTTGAGAAAGCGCGGAGCTGCTTGAAGCGGGCCCTCATGCTTTGGGAAGACCTGCCAGAGGATGCCAAGGACATGCAACACAAAAAAGCGCAAGAGTTGCTTCAACCTGGAAGGTTGAGAGATGAATTGCGCAAGTTCATAGAGCATGACATGGCGCTGGAAGAGTTGCCTGTGTTGGAAGCCTACTTGGCACCTCTGGCATTTGTGCAGGTTGCCGAGCGAATCATTGAAGCAGCTCACAAGGATATTGGAACACCCCCCAAACATGGTACCTTGTCAGCGCTTTCCATTCGCGTACGCTCACCAGAGCTCCTTCGCACATTGGCTTTGAAGCCAGATAGTTTCTCACAGCTGGTGGCTGAATTTGATGTTGCCCGCAAAATCCGAGACTTTGCTCGTTCATTTCCATGTTATGTCAAGCACCCAGATCTTCTTGCGTTGGAAACTGCCAAGCGAAACACCAATGTACAAACGAGCTCATATGTCAAAACAGTCCGTGGTCTTTTGTACAGAGATGCAAGAACTCAGCATGGTGACATTTCAAAAGCCGAAGCTGTCCACAACTTAGCCAAGAATCTGGTCGACAAGGCCAAGGCAAGATTTAAGCCCAAAGATCCAACCCTTTCTCAGGAGGTTCTGTTTGCAAATGAAGCTACTGCCTTCTTTCGTCAAATTTGTGAAGATGACCCTGGGGCTGTCCTCTCAATTGGCAACGAATTCTTTATGCCGCTCATGCTTCGCCCATCAGCTATTCATCGGCCATCACATGCGCCGTGCACAATTCCCCACATGCAAAAGAATGACATGTTGGTCATGAAGTTGGCCAACGGCGGGGATGAGAGTGCGCCCATTGTCTCTGCCTTGACTGGTGCCGAGAGCCAGTTGTTGAACCTGTGTTCTGTTTCTGTTGAAATGGGTCTTGACCGCTTCTTGTCCCAAACCAAGGTGTGGCGCAAACCATGCAATGTCACGCTTGTGTTGCCTGACATGCCAACTGTTTCGCATGTTGACTTGTCCAGGGTTCTTGCGTACATGGTGGAGAACCAGGCGCTTCCAGAGTTTGGCAAAGGCGTTGGCTTCAGAGTTGGCACTCTTGATGCTGATGTGCTTGATCTCTTGATTGAAAAAGGATTTGCAGAAGAGACCCTTTTTGGTACTGTCTTGACCACAGAAGCTGTTGCAAAACTTGAGTTCAAACATGTTCTGCAAATGCCACAGGCTTTGATGACCATCCGAAACTTACCCGACAAGGAGCTTCATTGCTTTGAGTTGATGGTGCGCTTGAAAGATGCAGGGTGGAGTTGGTCAGCCTTGCCTAAAAGGGTCAAGGACCGAAGGGGATTGAATTACCAAGTGGGGCAGCCCCTTACTTGGCACACTGCTGGCGTCACTGTTTGCAAGTCTTATGCCCTATGCCTTCTGCATGCAGAGTTGTTGTTGCAGAACCATGGGATTGAGGCTATTCCGCATGGCTTGCCTTCTGAAGTGTATGACATGGTGTTGCTTGGAAAGTCACCTCAGCTGGCTCTAGAAGAATGTGAAAAGAAACCTAGGCCATCTGCACAGAAGCGACGCCAAACTCAGGAGTTGCTTCCTGACGTTGACCTTCCCGAAGAGACACCTTTGGAGCTACCCCCGCTTCCCAAAAGATTAGCTTTGCCGCCAAGCGATTTGGCAATTGACCAGACAGCAGAAGGTGTGCCTGTGCCAGATGAACTGCAGAGTATAGATGAAATAGATGAAAGTATCCTACGTCACATAGCAGAGAACAGTCACTCCCCCCATGAGCCATGTGTTTCAGATGATCAGGCTGCTTCGGTGTCTGCTGTAGATGACAGCATAGTTCCAGCTGCCCCAGCTCGCGGCCCGCGCCCCAAAGGTGAGGCCAAGCCAAGGTTGCCAAAGTGGGGTTCCTTCTCTTTCCATAGGAAGTCAGCAGAATTGGCCCCTCCGCATGGTGGTGTCGAAGCAGTGTGTCGGTTCCATGCTTTGAACAACCGCACTGGTTGCAAGAAATTTGTTCGGATACAGGGGCCTTCAGAGCAGGATGAAGAACTTTGTCTCAACACTTTGCGCCACTGGTGCAACCAAGCCATGAAATTTGACCGCCAGCGCAAACGCATGAAAATGCCACTGCGCCCTGCGGACATCCCGCCGGAAGACGTTGTATGGTTGCAAAAACTGGAGACAGAGCCGCCTGAAAAGGCTCCCACAGACCAAGCCTTGGATGCTGCTTTGGCGCCTGTAGATGGTTCCGATGCTGCCCCAAAAGCAGTTCGCAAACCTAAAGCCAAGGGGAAAGGTAAGTCTAAACCTAAGCCGAAAGCTAGAGCCGGTGATGCTGATGTTAGTGATGGTCCTGCCTCCAAACCTGACAGTGAGGCAAAAAGGCAGGTTTCATCTTCGAGCAGCTCCTCCGGTTCAACTTCAGACGCTTCAGACTCATCTTCTTCGAGCGATTCATCTTCTAGCTGAGGGAGGACTGATTTTTATTTTTCTGTAGTTTTGTATGAAATTTGACTCTGAAGTGAGATTTGGCAACGCTTCTCTTGTCAGAGTTCAAATCAAGGAAACGCGAAGAGTTCAGAGATCTATGTAAAAAGTCAATGGGCAACAAAAAACAATTAGGGCCAACTGGTACCTAGTTTGCCCTTTTTTTTGCGTCCTCATGACTTCAAGAGATTGTATCTTTGTGAAACATCGCCTGGCTGGCAGGATTGCAGCGGTGCGGAGTGGCTACATTTCATTCAGAAGGCCGGCCACTGCAACAGCCACACGAAAACCGTTTTTTGTGTGAAGACTATGTGCTTTTGTGGTTTGTTGCGCGTTGCCACACTTCTCAAGTTGCCACAAAGGCTTGAGCGCACTGTTCTGTGTTAAACGGAGTCATCTGCGTGTGTTTTGCAGATTTTACGCTTTAGCTGGCTTCCCAAGTAGCTGTTTGGCAAAGTTGTGTAGAAACTGCCCAAAGTGCTGTGTTTCGCCATGAACCTAATGCTCCGCGACGGTGCGCGATGGTTGCGCGACGGCTGCGCGACGGTTAGGTTTGCGCGCCACTTTTCCTGCAGTTTGGTGCGCGCGACGCTTAAAGTGTGCAGAAGTGAGGCGTGCGCGACATGAAATGCATGCGATATGTAATGGTTTTTGGCGTTTTTGTGCTCCGCGACGGTGCGCGACGCTTGCGCGATACTTGCGCGACGGCGGTCTGTTTTTTTATGAAACGTATGGTTTTTAAGCCTTTTGCCGAGAAGGTGCTAAAACACACATGTTTGCTCACAGTATTGCGGCAAATTGCGACCATTGCCTTTTTTCCTGCACTTTTGGGTGATACAGAGCAGTTTGAGCAAGCAAGCAGTGATTGTTGATCATATGAAGGAAGATCAGTTCTTTGAGAGTTCTTTTTTTGCAACTCCCTTTGCAGACTTCTTTCTTTCACTTGTTTTCAGATGTTTGTGCTTGTTGCGTTGTGATTGTTGATCTGGATTTGATTTCCTTCGCAGTGCGCGGCAATCAAGGCAGATTTCCAACAGGTCAGTTTTTGACTTGCCTGGAGGATGGAAAGGCCTGAAAAGATTAGGCGATTGAACACAGATTGTGAGCCATGTGATTCGACCTGCAGCGCGGCAGGGTTGTGTGAGTGGCCATCAGCGTTGCCTGCCATGCAAGACAAGCTGGCTTCAGTGCTAGGTGTCACTCCTTGCCTTGAGCGGCGTGTGACAAGCGGTAAAGAGAAGATCTGGGTCACAACATCTTTTTCTGGTATGAGTACTTTTGAACATGCTTTGGATCGAATTTCTGGCGCCTTCACCCCACCCATCGGGACGCGGCCGCAAGGGTGTCATGGTGCATTCCAATTCTGGAGCATCCATGAGATCAGCCACCAGTGCAGAGAGCTGGCCTTTGAATCCAAGATGTGCCCTGAGCATATTTTTGGTGACATTTGCACACAAGTTCCTGAGTCACTTCAGGAGCAGATGTCCTTCATTGTGAATGCTTGCGAGGGGAGGGCCAAGTTAGCAGCAAAGTCAGGCAGGAAAGCTGCACAGGTCAAAGAGGAGTTGGATAGGTTGAATGAGCGGTGCATGAACAAGCTTTTTTCACTTGTGTCGAAGGCTGCCGCAGAAGGCCAACTTGCTGAGAAAGGTTGGTGTTGGAAGCATGGGCAGGAATGCCCGCTGAGCCCACCCAAGGAGGAAGGAGATTTACACCTAGAGATTGGTGGCAATGTTTGCGTTGCATTCACACCGCAAGGAAATCAAGGCCGGTGGATCCACGCAAGTGCCATTCCGGCAGCTATTTGGCTCATCGCCACAGCTCACAGACAGGTTGACTTGGTTTTCCAGGAGTGCTCTCATCGATTCAACACACAGCAAGTGTTTGAGAGGACCTTCAAGGAATCTGAAGGTTGGGCCACATCAGTTCTTCAGCTTTCCCCAATGGATGTTGGGGTTCCTATGCGTCGACTTAGAAACTTCAGCTGGACTGTGAACACAAAACGATTGGAGCTGCTCATGCCTTTCACAAATGATGCCTTCTTGAACATTTGCGGCTCTCCTGTTTCTTTGACAGGGCATGACTTCTTCTGCGCTCCTGCAGCCTTGGTCAAGGACTGCGTGAGGAATCTTGCCCAGAAACGAGGCATGCCTCTTGCAATTGGGGCAAGGCTTGGGGCAGCTGTGCTTCCTACAGGAATGAGAAGCCGACTTTTGGAATACCAAGCTTTGTTGAAGTCGGCTCCTGATGGGGCCATTGTGCCCATCTTCGACTTGTCCCAGAATGCCAAAGTGCGGCCAAAGATGGAACACCTGCTGCCATCTTTCCTCACAGGATCGTTGATATGGTCTGAGCAGTGCCGCCGGGAGATGTTGTCGCAGGAAGCTTTCTTGGCATTTGGGTGGCCAGTGCCTGGCTTGTGCCAGAGTGGTCATGAGTTTCCTTTTGATGTGGATGCATTCTTTGATGTCAAGAATGAGCGTTTCCTGGTGAAGGCGTTGGGCAATTCAGTTCACTGTCGTCTGGTTGGCTTTCTCATGGCCTTCGGTTTGAGTATCACGAAGAAGGTCGCAAGAGAAGAAGGGAAAGGGTGGCGCGCAGCAGCGCCTGTGTAATTCAAACATGAGTTGAGCCTCTGAAATGAGGACCGCCTGTTTAGCGTTGGTGTATGCCTAATCGAGCTGGCGTCATGTTTTGACTGCTTTTGTGCTTGAGGTGGGCAGCGCGGAAGATGGTTTTGCGGTGGAAAGACATAGTTTTTTACATAGAGAAGCAGTAGCCGTTGTGCGATGTATCAGTCTGATGAGCTTGCTTGGTCCATGAGAACAACCAGTTTTTATCATCTTGTCCTTTCTTGTGAAGCCTTTCTATTGAGAAAGATTGTGCAATGACACCCTTTCCAACCGCACACCGCGCAAGGCTTCCTTGGATATGCGGTGGGCGACCTTGTGCCTCTAGCGTCAGAGATAGGCTGGGTCTATGTTTTTGCGGTCACCATGTCTGTCCATAGAACGCCTATGAATGCCTCTTTGTGATTGGAGCAGGAGACATGAGACTTTGTTTCAGGACATGGCCAAGTTTGTTGTAGCAAACTTGTAGCTCTTTTGATCAACTTCCCATGCCTTCAAATAGTGGGCAGCCAACTTTGTGCTCAGGCAGCTTTGTAATTTTTTGCGGTCGCTCAACCCTTTGTTTTTGCGGTCTCATGGCAGCTGCAATGGGAGAAGGAGAGTCCGTTTTGGAATCCTTGGACATGGAGTGGCAGGAGAGGGGTGATCATGAAGCAGCCACACCAAAGAAAGGGAAAAAACGGAAATCTGATGGTGGAGAGACGGGTGAGAAACTTAAACCCAAAGCAAAAGCCAAAACGAAGGCCCGGAATGTGAACAGAACGATTGTGAAGAAGTGCAAGGGTTGCCGCAAGAAGCTGCAGGTGGGGGAAGCTGCGCCAAACTGGCCAGGTTGTTGGCCTTGCAAAAGAGCACTTGACAATGTCTCCAAGTTGGCATCTCGCCAAGGAAAGAAGCAACAGCAGTTTGTGAAGGAGGCCAGAGCGGACGATGAGAAGTGCTACAACCTCATCCAATCCTACCTGGCAAATTGCCCTGAGGCAGGTGAAGGGCAAAACAGCTGTGGCAGAAAGCGTGGGACATGGTGCCTCTTGAAGTATGTGGAGCGAGTGACAGCTGCTAGCGGGCTTGTGAGAGACAAAGTTGGTGAGATGATGTGGGAGAAGCTGTATTTGGAGCACGCTCAAACGACGCGGGGTGGGAAGCTCAGGGAAGAAGAAGCCCAAATGAAGTGGCTTGAGTGGGTCGATGGTGTTAAGCGAAAGGACCCTGCCATACTCTTTGACTACATGGGGCCTGATGCGAAGTTGAGGATTTGGGTCCATACCGCAGATACAATGACCTACCGCAGTGAGTACATGCACCACAAGGAGATCCACATGGAAGGGGATAGCAAGAAGAAGGCGACGGATGAAGATGTTGAGACCTTCCGCCCTCAGATCTTGCAGAACCATGGTAAGAACATGTCATTCGATTCCATTGGGCAAGCCATGGTTGGCAATGGCATGGATGCATTCTCTTCCAATGATGGCTTTTTGCTTGACGTTCTCGACTTGCAGCCTGATGTTGAGATGGAAGAGGACAGTGGTAAAAACAAGACAGAGGGCCCAGAGGCAAACAAAAAAGAGGAGGAAAAGCCATTACTTTGGGTGGAGCGAGACAGGGTTGTATCTTCTACCATTCGTGCCACCAGGCAGCAGATCGATACCTTCGTGAACAAAGCTGTCGCGCAGTTGGAGAAGCAGGAGCAGGCCAAAAAAGAGATCTTGGCGGATGTGGAGACGAGCTTCTCGGAGAACTATGCAGGTGAAATCAAAATGCTTGAGATTCGCCTGGAGGCAATGGACCTTTGCTTCAAGTCGAAGGATGAAGAGAAGCTGAAACAGTACATCGCTCGTTTCTCAGGTGTCCCAGCCACAGCTGATGAGGCGGCGAGTGAGAAGGTTGAAATTGGCCAGTGCCCCCCATGCACTGCTTATGCCAAGCTTCGGCCAGTGAATGTATTTGATGCATTGGTGGAGAAGTACCACCGCTGCACACAGCCAAAGCACATGAAGGACAAGGGATTTGGGAGCAGGTGATTTTCTTAAAAGTCTTAAAGTTTAGGTATGAGTTTTGGTGGTGATGAGTTTTGTTGAAGGTATGAGCGAGCTTCATTCCAGATGTTTCTTTCCCCTCCAGGATGTGAAAGCCGAGATTGATGAGGTCAGGATCCCTCTTGCCCAGTTGGTCGCATCCTCAGCCAAAGCTGAGAAGTCTTTGAGGTCTGCAAAGGACCAAATGAAAAAGCAGAAGACTCGACTGGCTGCAGCTGCCGTGAAGGAGGGTGCCAAGAATGGAGCTTCGCAGTCCAACCAATCCTTGCCCTTGTTTGACCATGGAGTTGCTTTGGCCCATCAGATAAAGCGCTTTGACATGAAGGACGTACAGGAAGACTTGGATTTCAGCCAGGCGTTTGTGATGCATTCTCCTGATTGGACTGCCAAGGCGGTCTCAGCGTTGAAAGCCGACATCGATGGCTTGAAAGCCACCATTGCTATTGGCGCAAAGTCTGGCAGCGGGGAAAGTCTTAAGGGCTTCCGTGCATCAAAGACCATCGCGCAAGATGGCGATGGGGCAAGCGTTGAAGCTTTGAATTTCTCAACCAGGGTCCAGGAGCTCTTCCAGAAGACCAAAGCCTGCTTTCCTCAAGACAAGTTCGCCCCTGCTTTGGCAAAACAGGCAGTGCCAACCATCTTTGGCATTGATGCAGGCTATGACAAGGTGAGCGGAGAGGCATGTGGCATGGCTTGTGTGCGCCTCACAACTGAAGGAGTGCGGACAATTGTGCTGACAGAAGGTTTGCAGCTCTTGGGGTTCATGGAGCGGAAAGGTTCATCTGCTCCCGTCAGTGTGAGTCGGCAGGCTTCCTTTTTCCGAAGCATGAGTGCTTCTTTGCTGCAAGAGTATGCTTCAGAGTGCTCCTTGTATGCCACCACTTTGAATGCTGGTGACCTGCTGTACGTTCCATACGGCGCGATCCAGGGTGAGCTGGTGCAGACAGCTTCATACGGTGTGCGGATGCCTCTGGTGGTTTGTGGCACTCGCGCCAAAAATTCTTCTTTGGCCTTGAAACGGAGGGAAGATGAATGCGCAAAGGCTATGGCTGCTACCAACTTGACACCTGCGATAAAGACAAAGTTGGAAAGCGAGATGGCAGTTTTGAAGGACCTTCGGAGCTTCTTCAATGTCTGAGCTCTTTTTGGCGCCCACCATGGGCAAAGCAAGCCCATGGGTTCAGCGGGCAGTGCTGACAATACATCGTATTGCAGCCTTGACTAGGCAATTCTCATGCCATTGGTGCTGAACACCAATGCGTCAAACATGTGCGAAAACAGGAATGACCGGCGCATTGTTTTAAGTTTTTGTTTTTGAGGCCTCAAGCAACGGTCAACTTTGCTGAGTGATGGCTCCAAAGATTGGCGGAAACGCACACAAAGACCTAAAGTATGTGTGAAGACTGGTGGCTATGCCAGGCCTGTCTACCTTATTTGTTGCAGATCACCGTTGTGAAGGCGTGATCAAACAACACTTGGGCGCAGTGCATGAAGTGCCAATAGTTTTTATGTCTAGGTGGAGGTAGGTGGGAGATATGGATTGCGCCAGTATGACCTTGGAAATGTAGAGACTTGTATGCCGTGCTGGCAGGGCTTCTTTTCCAGAATGTCCGCTGAGCATAGTCATTGGCCAGCTCACGCCTCCTTTGCGAGTATGGGGTGCATGTTTGTGTTTCCATGTTGCCAAGACTTTCAATGTGGTTTGTGTTTTTATAGTCTTGGAATTTCAACCCAGATTTCTGTCAATCTGGTTTTCTGTGGTTCCAGTGAAGCTTTGGCAAGAAGGTGTGTGTGTGTGCCCTGGATGCGGTAGCGCTTGAGAGGTTTCTTCGAATGACTAGTTGCGTGTCAATTTAAACCCATGGCCCTTTGCAGTGTGCCAAGTTCAGACCGGTAACCGGTAATGCAGTGCCTCAAGTTCAGCAAAACTGTTTCTACTTTTGGGGGTTGCCTATCATCTGTTTATATATATATATGTAGACTTGTTGTTTCCCAGTTTCGATGTTAAGAAAAAACATACTGGCACAGCGTCAGCTTTGGCAAGGTAAGTAGACGTTTCACACACACACACACTAACCTTCTGACATTGGAAACCATGTCAGTTGGTATGGCAGCAGTTCACACACGAACAAGCTCTGAGAAAACGCCGCCGCCGGTTTCCCACTGGAAAGCGGACATGGACCACCATTTTGTGAGCTTTTGAAACCCAACGTGGATGGGAAGCATCTGTTTCAAGAAAGAGATGGTGCTAGAACCTAGCGGCAAACCACAAAAACACATCACCAAAGCGCAATTCGCTGTTCTATGACAGCCCGTTCGTGCAGATATCTCCTCAGCTGAAACCTTCAAAAAACAAGCGCTAGTGACTCTTTCTTTGGGTTACACGCCAACCCTCAGTCTTTGCCACCCGAAAAGATTGAATTTGGGAGCCTCTTTCAGCCCGTGTTTGGTTTAGTGGTAGCAGGATGAAATTTATAAATATGTTTTTGATCTTTTTCATAGTTTCATTTTTCAAAAGCAAAGGCTCAAGTCAGTTTGACCTAAATCGACCTGTGAGTTTCGATAGCGAAACACATCGCAACTGAAATCTGTGGGCGATGACAGTTGCCCTTGCTTGCGATTCTGTACCAATGTCACTCTCATAAAGCATAGTCTGGCCACAGGGTGGCCACCTGTTTGGCCATGTTCCAGCTACAGCCGTGGGATTCAACACCAGCAATGCAGCAAAGGATGACGCCAGTGCAACAGCTTTGTCAACCGCAAACGCCAATAGAGCCAGCGTCAAGACTCAAGAGAGTTTCTCAAACCTCTTTGGAGAGTGTTTCGCAAACCTCGCTGGATCCTTTCGTGGTTGATTTGAGGGAGTTTGATGATGAGAACGGCGTGATCAGGGCAGTTCATTTTTTCGTCATGGAAGAGGATGAGCCAAGGGAGTCGAATGAGGAGGTGACATTGTTTGTTGGCGCAGTGCGGGCTACAGCAGATGCCGACGATGGTTACAGAGTGAGTGAGCAGCATTGGTTTCCAGTAGTTTTGGATTCGGGTGCAGATGCAACAGTTTTGCCCAGTGAAATGCCCACAGAGGTGTCAACAAAATCCACGTCATCTTCATGATGCTCAAGGCACGCAGATTGAAGTGAAAGGGTTGAAAGATGTGTGCTTCATCACGCAGACAGAAGAAGGCCGTGAAGTACAAGTGCATGAAAGGGCCCGCTTTGCAGACGAAGTTCGGCAACCTATCTTGTCGTTCGGGAGGTTGTTAGAAGCTGGATGGGGGATATATGGCCAAGAGAAGACTGATTGCTTTGGGTTGCAGGTCAAGATTCCCTTAGAGATGCAGCGCAAGAGCCTGATTGCGCAGGCGAAGATTCGTGAGGTGGAAGCATTACCATGTTTCGCGAGAGCCCTAGATGCAATGGAAGTGAAGCATGGGAACGAGCTTGAGGAGATAGTGAAGTCACAGGCAGGGTGGAAGAAGTATAGGAGTAAGTGGATTGGGATTCACCTATCCACGAGTCATCAACCACCGCTCGGGGTAAGTGGTATTGATCAAGAGATAGCCTGGGACGGGCTACCTTCGTGAAGGAGCACGGCAAGTGGAAGCTGGTTGAGATGGCTACGGCTGTGCCTCTGAACTTGATGATGGAACAAGAGGAGAGTGTAGAGGGCTTGAAGGAAATGGGCGTGGACCAGAAGATTTTGGCTCTGAAATCTTGGGGAACGTATACGGGAGGAGATTGAACGTCAGCAGATGGATGACCCTACAATTCAAGAGGGTAGATTGGTGCTGGGAAGTCCAGACACTGATGACGTTGAGCAGCTTGCAAGTTTTTCCGTGTTTCGCAATCTGGAAGCAAATTGACGTGCTTTCAGAGAATCGTGAGCCCGCAGAAGAAGAACAAGAGAAACATGCGCTCACGCATACACCTTACGCTCCATGGTGTGAGTTGCATTCTTCATAGAGCAAGGCAAGATAGACGCCTTCGAACTGGAGCAGCAAGAATGTCAGGCGTCCCGGTCATCAGTCTTGACCTGTGCTTCGCCAAGTCAGGTATTATCGACAGGAGAGATCCGGAAGACGTATAGGAAATGCTAATTGAAGAAGCAGAGGAAGGAGATCCTGGTGGAGACAAAGGGTTGAAGGAAGTGAAGTCGACAATGTGGACGATCGTGACATGGTCACAACTCCATTGAAGAGTAAGGCCCAGCGAAAGAAGTCATGACATTTTGTCAACATCTTGGTCACCGCCAAGTAACGTTGTATGGAGACAATGAACCAACCATCAGATCAATAATCCTTGTGAACAGCAGGCATGCACTTGGATTGAGGGCGAGAATTTCTCACTTCCCGTATTCGTGATAGCGCTGGAAACTCGCTGGCAGAGAATGCAGTACAACGAGTACGAGGATTGACGTGTACCATTATGGAGGGTTTGATGTCGAGAATTCAAGTGAGGCTGAATAGCAACCATCCATTGTGGTCAAATTGTGGTCATGTGTAGCCGAGCACTCTTGCTGGATCATGAACTTCATCCAAACAGTATGCAGGAAGCATTACACCATTCGGATGTCCAGTCTATGCCTATGTGAGGTCACAAGCTCTGAATCCACCGAAAGGAGTTCCAGGGTGGAAGATGACTATCTTCTTGGGAAAGACCGATGGACAAGATGCGTGGGTTGGATCAGATGGTGAAAAGATCATGCTTGCCAGAAGTGTGAGAAGAGTGGATCGACCTTGGACAAGATTTTCTTGCTTACTACGTGGGATTTTCCCCAGCACCGTGGGAGTTTCAGACCAACTTTGGAGGACGCATTGTACCTACAAAGAGAGCAATTGGAGCCCAAGCATTTAGGAATGGGCCAATAACTATGCAAAGTCTTACCAAGAAAGAGCAGAAACTATGAAAGAACTTCAAGAAGCTGCAGAAGATTCGGTAGAGAACTTCGCATAGATCCCAGAACACCAGCGCCATCAGCTCCTGTTCATACTGAACCGCAACCTGGACAACCAAGAGCGCCAGAGAGTGCGCCAGAAGACAAACCGGAGGAAAAGATGGAAGGTGTAATCTGTCAAGGACTTCTGCGGGAGAAAGCTTTGAGGGAGACACCGCCAGAGGAAAGATCGTCAAGTTCTTTGCGGATTCAGGTGATTCAAGAGCGGTTAGAAAAAGTACAATGTCAGGAAATGCGCCACTTGGACGAAGTAGTCGCTGAGGAGAACTTCTATGCCTTGGAAGAGAATATTCAGGAGGACAGAGGTTCCAGATGAGTTGTGGAGCAGTGAACTGAACCTTTTGAGGACAACCGCCAGCAGAAAGAGATCTTCTTGCAGACAAAGTCGAGGAAAAGCAATTGAAGAGGATGCGAGTCGAGACTTATTTGAGGAAGAACAAGACTTGGAGATCCTTACAACCCGCTTTGTCCACGACTGGCGTATCAAGACAAGGAGATTCAAGAATGGCAAAGAGCAGAAGCTGTGGCTTCGAAGAGGACGTCTTGTGGCAAGAGAGTTTGCCAACGCAAAAAGGGATGACGTTCGCCTACTTCAAGCACCCATGTACTTCGACTACTACCAGTGATGTTCTTGATGGACGGAGGACAACTAGCATTCAGCAGGAAGACCAGTGATGGGAAGCTTCGATATCAAAGACGCGTTCCTACAAGTGGATCAGAAGAAAGAACTGCAGGCGACGACAGACCCGGGGAGATTCAGAGCGTTGAAGAAATTACTGGGCCAACGACAGGGAGCTCAAGCATGGTTCAACCATTTAGTTGAGTTTTTGAAGAGCGTTGGATTTGACTTCTGCAAAGAGAACGCAGGTTCAGAACTTCATTGAACAGCTGAGAGAGAAGTTAGAAATCTCGGTGAGCCAAATGAAGTCACCAGGAGACGACGATATGCAATTGACGTGATCATGAACTCTGAAGATTTCTATGGACACGCAAAGAAGCAGAAAGTACCTTCAGGACCAGATGTCCAAGAAGTCGATGGATCTGAGGAATTGAGTCAAGAGGAAGTAGCGCTGTACCGATCCTTAGTGGGTAGTGGCATTTACCAGGAAAGATTGGATTTGAGCTTCACGATCAAAGAACTTGCAGGATGAAGAAGCTCATTGGCTATCTTAAGTCAACAGAAGG